AGAACTTTCTTAAGAAAAGATGAGGGGGTGAACCAGGACTAGAACCAAGCCATTAAACTCTGAGTAGAGACTCAGTCTCAGCTTCCACCTTGGGTGTATTTTTAGACTTGATCTTGACAACCAGAAGAGAGTTAGGTGACTCTATTATTGATCCTCAGCTGGTTAGTCTCACAGAACACCACTATCAAGCTATTTGTACTAAAATTGGACAGGTAAGAAGGAGTTACATGGAAGGGGACTGAGGCGTGCCTTACTTCCTTTGCTGTGTGGATGGGAACTAGTACTCAGGGGAAGTCACACTGACAGGAGGAGGAAGGCAGAGATGCTCCCTTTCTTCCCAAGGAATAACTAGCCGACTGCCTTGGGGCCTGCTCTACACAGTACCAGATGCCACGCTCTGGAGAATGGTACCAGGCCTCATTTTCCATCCCCTTTCAGAATCCTTCAGAACTCCAACGTGGAATGTCTTTTTCAATAGACAGCAGAGCTCATTTCATGGTATGGCCTTTAGACAGGCTGCCCAGATTTGTCTAATTATACAAACGCATAGCGTTTTCTGGGAGGCCTCAGGAACATTAAAGAAACTTATATTCTCTCCCATGCCTGCTATCTGTCTTGTCCCAGGTACACGATCGTGTATACAGTTGACAAAAATGTTTGAATTGTAGACCTGTGAAGGGCTTGCCGGAGCATCTGCTTCGTCCTGTGTTTTCAAGCTAGCTGAGTTCTCCCTAAGCCCTCCAAGCTTGCAGACTCTGCTCCCTCCCAGTGTGTGTGTGTGTGTGTGTGTGTGGGTGTGGGTGTGTGTGTAGGGGGAGGATAACGACTCAATATGTTACAAACCTTAAAGGCAGTCAGTCTTCTCAGTTTAAACCCAAGTCCCTTCTGCTGTGGTTTAATTTCACTTCCTTTGCTCTGATTCCCACCCACGATGGAGAACCGCTCGCTGCCGTTATCCACAGGTGACCCCTTCAGATGCCTGAAGATGCGGAGTTCGGGCATAAATCCATGAGAACAACCCCCTTTTGTTAATGTACTGAAGCGTTTCTTAGCAAAATTGCCCAATGGCACTCATCTGTCACTTCCTCTTTCTTCCTTGGTGGAGGTAGATGAAACTACATGATGACTGTGTTCACATTTGTGCTGAGTACAAACTTCTATCTTAAACTCAGAGAGAAGGATGTGTGCTAGCAAGCTCTGGGTCAGTACTTGTCAAACCTGGAAGGAAGAGCAGACTAGGAGAGGGTTTGTTAGTTTATAGTATTTGGTGAAATTGGGCCATGGAGAGAAAGTATTTGCATAAATTTGGCTAAAAATAACTTTTTGGAATCTTGCTGCAGTTTTTGCCTGAATCACACATTAAGGCTGTATTGAGATTAAAATCACTTCTCATTTATTTAGGGAGCAGCTGTCACAGCATTTTGAGCAGATGGATTTGAGGTCTTAAAGTTTGAAAAAGGATGTGATAGTTCCTCTATGGGTCCAGAAACATTTATTATAACCATTGTCTACCCAGGAGTGGATCCTAAGGAGAAGGCCAGTGCTCAGACTGATCTGATTTCTTCTGGCTAGAAGTTAATGAGATGGACAAAGAACTCCATGGAATATCAAAAAAGGAAATAGAAGTGTCTTCTGGACCGGTCCCGAGCACATTCTAACTTTCCTCCTCTTCATCAATCCTTTAGCTTCCCCTCTGTGCTACCGCCTTCCTTTTTAGACCAGATTAATACTGGAGACCTGGTTTTACCTTAGAAATCCTTCCCCAGGGTAGCTCTAATTACTTTCATTCCTCTATTCCATCCCTTTCTCATTATCTTGTTTTAAAGAAGGGTACCTCTCTTTCCTTCTCTCACTTACACATACTACACACCCACCCACACACACACACACACACACACCAATTTATGGTTCCAAATTGATTTCATTTCCTCCAAAGGAAAAAAAATCTAGAAATATGTCTATAAACTCCTGTGGTATCATATAGTCTGCATATCATTTTATGCTCGGGAATTTTAGGCATCATTTCTACAGAGCTTTTCTTTAATTAAGGAAATTTTCAGAAACAGCTGACTTCTTCAGACTTTCTTTGCCCATCTGTAGCTGTGGAAGGCCTCAATCCCACATGGACTTGAGCTGGTGGACTTGTGCTTGTAGCACTTACTGTCTTCCTGTATGTTTCCTTAAACAGCTAAGGCCATTCCCAAGTATTCCCAAGGTACACACCGCTCAAGAAGGTAACACGATTTGCCAAGTAAAGAATTATGATTTATGGTAGTAACTGCTACACTCTGGCTGTTTTGGGGCTTTGTTTTGGGAAATTATTACCACAATGGTTCTGTAGAATTTAGGAGTATAACCAGCACCAGTTGGCACGTTTATGACAATAGGGTTCTGGTTTTCTTAATTTCACAGTTACACGTTGGCAGCATTTCAAATTCTTGCCACAGATATTTCAGTGAATTTAAAGAAACATTAAAAACAAAATATAGGGCAGTTTTGAGTGTCCAAATGTAAGAAGGAGCATTATTTTCTTAACATGAAGTTAGCATGGAACCATGACCTTGGCAATGGATAAAACGGGAACCATGAAAACCATTTTCAAAGGGCCTCTTGATTTTTTGTCTTCACTGAGGGCACTGTAACTTTTCTAGAAGCATCTTCTAACCACATCTACCACATAAGATTCAAATTTGCTTGTGCCTTCCATCTGAAGACAGGTTAGTCTCTGGTATACCCATGGACAAGCAAGTAGACTCATGGCCCACCACTTGACCCTTGGGTCCCATGGCCATGACACCACAATTCTTGGGTTTCATACTAATAATGCCCAGATTCTGGTAAAGTCAGCTTTCTGGAAATTTACTTTAAGTGAAGAAGTAGCAAATCTACTTCCCAAGATGTGAGGGGGAAAATGAAATGTAGGGCATTTCCCAAGGTATGCTTTGTGTTAGCCACTGAGACAATCTTGATGTCACCAACAGGTGTCTTGAGTTCAGCTTCCCAGGGCCCTTCACCCACGAGTAGGCTGGGCTGGCGTGCACACACACACACACACACACACACACAGGAACAAAGCATTTTTGAAACTGATTCAAGCACTTATCATCTCCTCACCACCCCATGTCTATCCACAAATTAAAAATAAAAGTCCAACAAGAGCTAACAAATCTTCCCCCTTACTGGTTAAGGCTTGAAATACCTTTCTTAGAGAGTACTTTTATAGCTAATAATTACACAGAAAAACCGTATGCTGTTGAGGATTATGAGAGACACAGCAGGGTCTCTGGTATGGTCCCCGAGGGAGGTGGGGGAGATAAGCGTCATGACTGGTGCTACTGGGAAAGGGGTGGGGTGGGGATGGGGGCGTGGGATGAAAGGGGAGAGGCAAATTGTGTCCTATTCAAAATGTGGTCTGGGGCCACACTCACACATGGACTGGATAAAATGTCCCATACTGGCCCTTCACTCAAAACACTAGACAAGCATTGGTAAAGCATGAACATTTATATTTAATTTACATTTTGACAATTTGCACATAAATAACAATGTAAACCAGTACGTAAACATAAGATAGTCTTGTTCTAGCAAAGTAAAAAGCCAGTAACTTTGGTCAGTTTAAACTTTGAGTAGAGGAAAAAAATAAAACCACTCTTAATTGTGGGCTCAACATTTCACATGTAAGAGGCCTAAGAAAAGAAAGATGGTAAGAGAAGCAAGAAGTCTTTATAAAAATCCTCAAATACAAGAATACATAAAAGGAAAACAAGAACACATGTGCTCACTGAGAATAAAAAGTATTTGGTGTCAAGGTCTGAGTGATGCTTTGGTTTACCTACAATTAAGGACTGTATCTGTCAAACACTGAAACATCAAAAATGGTCAGTCTTGAGATAGGGGTGTAGCTCTGTGGCAGAGAGCTTGCCAGGATGTGCTAGGCTCTAGGTTTGATCCCCAGCACTGCAAAAAAAGAAGTCAGTCTTGCCAGTTATAGGAACAGATCAGTAAGGCCCGTGGATTTCCCTGGATTATTTGAAGTTTGTTTTTCTCTTTGCAAGTTGGTATTAGTTGATGTGAACAAATGTTGAACACAGAAAATAGGATGAATAGTAACGCGACAGTATTTAGGAAGGAGTGAAAAGAAGAGAAAGTGTAGTGGTGAAAGAATAATGAGATTTTGATTTCTGTGACTTGACTGTGACCACATAATCAGGCGGCAAAACAAAAACACAGCCATCTCAGATGATCTCTAAAAACCAGACTGATGGATCTCTTTCTCCCCGGTTGCTATGTGGTCCTCTCCTCTGCATCGAGCCTTTATGGTCTCTTGTAATAGGCGAGGGGTGCCCAAGCACCCTCGACGTTTATGTCAAGTCTCAGAAAAAGATCTTCTTTGCCCTTAGGAAAAGTAGGTTCTTTTACATGGGGTGGCTCACAATTTAAGTGGTTATAAATATATTATATATACACATGGCATAGTGGTATAAATAGACTTATAAATATACATCATTCTTTGCTACACCTCGAATGCCAACAGGTAATCTTTGGGTTTAGCAGAGGAAAAGATAGAGTGAAACAATCTATCTTTCTGGAGCCCGCTTACTCCGCTTCTCCTCCAGAGTAGCAAATCATGAGATAAGACACCACTTCCTGCACTCCTGGATACACTCAATGAGGTATTCGTTGTTGAACAACTTTGCAATGCCCTTTCATCTTCAATTAAATTAACCATAAAATGCAAAAAAAAAAAAAAACACAAATACTGAGGAAATCTTGAGTTTTACAGAAAAAATACAATTGATGTGCTGGGGACTGGAATGTTCTTACCCGCTTTTACCTAAGATGACCACAATACCCGTTTCTCTGTTTGTCTTTTGATTATATTTTAGTGTGGCCTGAGCCTATCTACTTCAAATCCTTCCCGATGAAGCACTACCTTTGTGCAATTTTTTGACATTAAAAAAAAAAAACCAAAACAAACCAACGACAAAACAATACCCAGACTCAAGCCCCCAAACCTCACACATACAAAACCACCTGTGCTTTGGAACAATTTCTCAGTGGTTTTACACATGGCATTTTGTCTTCTTCACATTTTCAGTAATACATTGGGATGCAAAAATCACGTGCCCGGTCTGAATGGCCCTATGTCTCTGATGGTGGGAGGACCCAACTGTTTTTGGGAACAGGTTGGCAAAGCATTCCTGTCACCTTTTTGGTAAAATTGTGGCCATTAAAAAAAAAAAATAGAACTATCAACAGAAACATGGGAAATTCCTTTTCCTGTTCTTTCTATTCAAGTTATAACTGGGTAATTCTGCACACATACCCTCAAAGTTATACAATGCTGTTCAAATGATTCGATCCCATGAATTAACACACCAGACATCTAACTTTGGCAATACCAAAACCTCATTTTCAAACCAACAGTATAGAGGTTGACTGACATCATGTATTTGGCTACTAAATTTTACGTACTTAAACAGATGTGCAGAAATTTATCTACAAAGAATGGCCACAAGACAAAAATACAACATATGTACTCAAATTACAAAGAATCTTTCCAGTCATTGTAAACTTTTTTTAATTATTGCTTTTTGAATGATAAACTGTATAATAAATTATGAAGAATTATCATTGAAAAAATAATTATGGCTAGGCAATAATAGTCTTAGTATGGGAAGGCTATGCAAACATATCCACACAAATATTCAAAATACACGGGTTCAAATATATAGACATAGGTGTAAATAAGTATATATAATATGTATACATATATATATATAGAGAGAGAGATATATATATTGGGAAAGAGTCTTTGTCTCATTTATGCCCTGAGATTTCAGTAACTTTGGAGTCCTTTAATTCCAGAGACGTGAGAGAAACCACCAGCTGTCAGGAGAGCTTTGCAGGTCTGGAATCACCCACGAGTAATTTGCTACAGGCACCCTGACTCGCCAAGTCATAACTTAAGAAATGAAACAAAATACTTGTTTTCTGAAAATCTTAAGGATCCATTGGTTCGACTGTTTCTTGTTTGACCTTTACAGGTACCAGAGGTAGTGGGTTGCTGTGAGGCAACTTGACAAGGGACAGGTCTGATGACTCATAGAGGCCACACCCTGAGGAGAGAAGTCCATTCCCCATGTTTCTTTGCAAAGCCACTTTCAGGCCCGTTTCTTCTTTCTCTTTTCTGACCACGGCCAGAATTTCCTTTTCCACCACAGAGGTCACATCGATGTTGTCCTCCATGTCCTCAAGCCGGTCAGCATTATCACTGATGTCAAACTTCTCAATTTCTTCATTGATTCGGGTCAGGTCCTCCACGGGCAGCCCAGTGGCGGGGGCCATAGGGCAGTTCCCCTTCAGGTGGACCTTGAGGCTGCAGAGGTGGATGTAGCTCTTGTGGCACTGGGCACACTTGTGGGGCCGCTCCCGGGTGTGAAGTCGCTTGTGCAACTTCAGGTGCACAAACTGGGTGAATTTGGCAGGGCACACCTTGCACTGGTAAGGTTTCTCTCCCGAGTGGAGTCGCAAGTGGGTCTTGAGATTGCTGGTGCTGCTAAATCGCTTGTGACAGACCTGGAGTGTGGGGGGTGACAGAGGACCCAGGAGGGAGACAGGGAAGACCAGAGAAGATTAAGAGATGCCAATGGGAAGGGCAAGCTGACAGGCCAACACCTAGCAACAACTTGGGAGGTGTGAAGCCTTCCATGGTGCGGAATTAAGCAGGCGGGGGGTGTGGGGATAGGGGTACCTTGCACACAAGGTATCCACTGCTATTTCCCTCCCACTGGAAGCTGGCTGTGTCATTACTGCAGCCTGTCAGCTGTTATAGACAGCAAGGGGGAGCTCCACAGTCCCAACGACCAGTGGCAAGGCGGGATTCTTGTGTGGGTTTAAACTATGGGGCTCGTGTGACATGGGAGGGCAACTCCAGACATTTTCTACAAAGGTCAAAAGTTCTCCCCAGAAAGCACTGCCCACCTGGCATTCATGTGGCTTTTCTCCCGTGTGTACCAGGTAGTGTTTCTGCAGGTGGGCGAGCTGAGTAAAGCCCTTGTTGCAAGTCTGGCACTTGAAAGGCCGTTCTCCACTGTGCACTCTCAGGTGGACCTGGGAAGAAGCCACATGTGTTAGTGCTGTCAAGATGGCTGGAGGCCTTAACACCTAATAGTCCTGGCTCAAAGACTCAGATGTTTTCTTTAGAAAGGCATCAAGACAAAGCCTTCAAAACAAAACAGAGCCCCAGTGTTTTCAGAATGCTCAGTTTTGCTTGAGCTACAAGAACAAAAATCACAGGCTAGCAGAGTGCTACCCTAGCCTGAAGCCCCCATTTTTATTATTCAGGAAAAACTCAGGAGAAGGACACAATGTGTTTGAAGCCACAGAGTTTGAAGTGGCAAAAGCAAAGTAGAACCCACATGCACCAGGCCCGGACCAGGCCCAGCCTAGGCCCAGCCTAGGCCCAGCCCAGGCGCAGGCCTGCTGAAAATGTAACTTACAACCTATGGCCAGGCAGCTGAGCGAGAACAAGAGCCTGCACTTGTAGGCAGACGCCAGCAGCCCCTCGCACCTGTCTGGAGGCCTACCTTCAGGTTCGAGAGCTGGCCAAACGTCTTGGCACAGACGTTGCACTCGTATTTGATCTTGCCATTCTGCTTCTTCAGTGGGTAGGGAAGTGTCTTGTAGCCCGTCATGTTCCTCTTGTTTTTAATGAGATTCATGGCTTCGTCACTGCTGGGGGCTGCCATCACTGCTGAGGTAGCTTTGGGTTGACCCACGTGTTCTGACGTGGCTGCCGTTCCCGCCGTTGGAGACCCACTGGTGGGGCTGCACATCTTGTCCTTCATGCTGGCGGCGGCCCCGGTGAGGGAAAAGGCACTGTGGGGAGCTGGGACAAGCACCTCTCTGGGATGCTCAGGGGGAAGCAGCCTCCGGGCTCCATCTGAGGGCAGCGAACTCGGGAGAGAGGCTGGGCTGAGCATGGAGTGAGGCAGGTTGCCCCCGCCGAGGAGGTTGCTGTACACGGGGTAAAACCTGGGGAACAAGCCAAAGTTGTTGATGCTATTGATGTGGCTCACGGCGCTCAGGCCATTGCAATTCATGCCATACGGGGGCAAGAGGAACTTGGGGTAGTGAGCATTGTAAGAGGGGATGAAAGCTGGCGGGAGGTGGGGGGCGGGGCTGTATCCCGGGTAAGAGCCCAGGCCTTCGGTGCCATAGGGCGCATTCAGGTAGGTGTAGGAGTCCAGATGCTCTTGAGGGCCCGAAGCTAGGGGGGACACCGTGTTGCCTGGGCTGCTGTGAGGGCTGCAGCTCTTGAGGCTCTGCTCGGGGCTGCTTCCTGCTGAGGGGCTTGGAGTTGTGGAGGATGGGAGTGGGGAGTGAGTGATGTAAGTTGGTCTCTCCATCCCATAGGCCAGGGGAGCTTTCAAAAAGTCTTCCGGCAGAGGGGCCCGGATGGGGTAGACTACTTTGGGGTACAAGGGGATGTCGGCGCTCCTGGTTTTTCTGAAGTCATTCATGTCCTTTTCTGAAGTCAAGGGTGACATGTCCGAATGGTAGAAGTCCTTCCCTTTCGAGGGGTTGGAGTCCAATTTTAGGATTTCTTTCACACTGTACTCTCTCTTTGGGACATTCTTTGGGCAAAGTTCGTTTCTCTCAGTACTTGGTTGCTTTGGGTTGCCGTGTGTTTGTGCTGAAGTAAAGAAAAGAGAGCAATTACTCAAAGGGCTATGGAGAACTGCAGTGAAATCTTGAAAGCCGTTCCTTCCTTGTGAAAGCCTGAGCACCAGCTGGCGACAATCGACAGACACCTCTCACCCTAGAGGGCTCTGGGCCACCCACTCACAAGGGCCGCTCTATTTCCTCCTCAGCAAAATGGGGACAATGGCAGCATCGACAGAACAATAGCACCCTTGGATGGTGTGGTTTCCATTAGTACAAGCTTTAAGATAGAAAAGTGCTGTTCAAGCTAGACTGAGATGTTCATTAAAGTGGGGTGGAAAAATACTGGGGAGGGGGGTTGTTTCAGGTTAATAAAAGTCATTCTGATGTTCACAGTTTAGGTTACCTAAAGGAAATCAGCACACCCTGCAAACTAGATGTGAAAGATTAAGACTCATTTCAAGTAAGAAATAGTCATCAAATTCTCAACTCAATTCTTGTTTAATATGAACTTGATAAAGCCCTGCTCAGATTGCCTATGCCAAATAGAGTAAGGACATGGATGCCACCCCTTATGTGACACTGGCTGACAGCACAAGCATTTCATCAAGGTTCTGGTCTAACCAGGCTACCAACAGTGCTGTCTCCTGGAATCATGAGGCGTGACAGTCACCCCTGCCAAACCACAACAGGTACTTCCCAGGCCAGTTCAATTACTTGTGCACCAAAGACAACAGAGGCAACTAAGAGGAAAGCGTTCATACCTGAGGACAGCACAGATTCCTCAGTAAACAGACTACTTAGGGACAGGGGCAATGAGGACAGTTCTAGGCTCTCCATCCTTGGCCAGCCCCATCCCAAAGAACAAATGAAGCCTTAAGGGAAACACCAGCCAAGAGAGCAGGACCAGTCATAGCAGGGAAAAACCACAAAGCCCCGGCTCAGCCTTCTCTGGCAACAAAGGAAACACATCCGATGAGCTTTGATTCCTGGGGACACTCAAGCCAGCACACTTGCCCCAGGAGCACACTGAGGCCATCACCCTGTGAAGTGGAAATGCTGAGTGGAAGCCGGGCACTTGGCATTGATCATAAAAGATGTGGCAGGTTTGGGATCATGCTGAGGCCATCACATAAATGTCCTTCATTGTCTTATACAATGTCCCTGCTTGATTTAACTGAGGAAGAACTCCAGACTTGCTACCTGATAGGTCTACCTATGAACTCTGTGGAACTCTAGAATTAAACCCTTCAAATCCATTCTCCAGGATGACAGGCTGGAGGGATTCGATTCCAGTTTGAGAGCCCGGGGAGAATGTTATCTCCTATGGCTGTTATCAGTTACTCTGGGGCTAGCCAGAAGCCCCAGAATAAACACGGAACTACACTATCCTATCGGGGAAGATGCTGATCAGGGGGCAGTGATGGAGAGCTTGTTGAGGGAGGGTGATATCTAAAGTCACTAAACTAAAATAAATATCCTCTTATCAGGCCAATATCAGTCTTTCAGTGAGGCCCAGCAGGCAGGAAGTTCAAATTGTCACTTTTGTTTTTTAAAGCAGAAATGGTAAAGTAAGAAAAAGACAAGTAAGCTGGAAAAGTGATAGGGAAGGCATCTCCAGCCCAGGGAAGGAATTTTATGGAGGAAAAAAAGAAGACCTTAGAAGCATCCTCAGACTATAAAAAAGGAGAAAAAAAAAAAAGCCACCTTAATAAAATAAAAATACAGTAATGTCACCCTCACAACCTTGTGCCAGTTTTTATTTATCTAAGTTTCACGATTTTTTTCATTGACTTCAATACTTCCATGGTTCTAAAGTACAACAAATTATGGCTTCAAGCATAAAAGTTGGAAGTCCATTCACAGTACTAAATATGCCCCCATATTTAGTCCCAAGTTCTTTTTAAGCACCTTAATTTAATTCAATTATTGAACTGAAAATAAAGCTGACAATGGTTGAGGCCAAGAAACAGAAAAGTAAAACTTTTAATTTTCTATGTAAAATACTTATTAGCACAAGTGCCTGGTATACAGAAAATCCACAATTAATGTTTTCTCTCTCTGATGGCTTCAGCAAAGTCGATGTAAACCTTATCTAAAAGACTATCCACAGTGGAATGTTAGCCTCTCAAAAATGTTTTTTAGGTGGAAATTATGGAGTCTATATGAAGATACATTTTTTAAAAATCGTCTTTCAGCAGCTGAGTAATCAGGGGAGCTCGTGTCATTTCTGGCTCTCCCACTCAATGGCAGCTTGAGTTAACATGAAAAAGAAAATCAAGATCTGTTTTTGTTCTTAAATCTTACATGGCTGTAGGCGGACGGAGTCATTTCAAGAGCGAACTGCTTCTGAAGGCTCTGAATGGCTTAATTATGCCGACTCACATTTTCGATCTATAATAAGAACCCCAAGACTACAAGAAAGAACCTAGAAGTTCTGCAGTAGGCAAAACAAAGTCTGTTTTCAACTGAAACTGAGAAAGCAGATTAACATTTAGAAGTCTATAATTTGGTCAACTGTTTTCTAGATGGGTTAGTTAGATAGCAAAGAAAAAAAGAATTGAGAGGGGTTAGGGGCTTGACTCAATGGTTCCCCTCACCCCTTAATGACACTTTGTGATTTTTGGCCACTTCCTTTTATTTTTTTCAGTTTGTTCTCCATCACATCTCCTCAGTCATGCCCTCCATGGAACCCTCACACAGATGCCCTCCCAGACCTCCACTGTGCTTTGAGCATGGAAACCCAATACAACTCACTGTGGACACACAATCTACCTATTAGGCCTGATGAAACAGTGGAAATTTTCCTGAGCAGTCTCAATCACCAGTTGCCACACCTAAGACAACTGGTTTCACAATGGGCAGCAGGAGTTGTGTGCTGGGACTGGTTACTGTTAAATCTCATTCTTACTAGGAATACTGGAAAACAACATGGTACCTGAAAATGCCAACCTGCCATTTAGAAAAATTCTGCATCATCAAAGGGGTCAACTGAAAGGACTAAGATGTCATTTCACGGTGTACATGAAAGTTGCTGCTGAACATAAGGAATAAATACTGGAATCTTAAAATACAGTATAAAACCTTTCATTGGTGAATAAAAATGCCAGACCTTTAAAACCTTTCTTTGATTGGCACAGGACAGGGAAATGTGAAAAAAGTCACAGGAGCAGGGGTCAGCCAGTGGAATACTATTAATAAAAATAAAACAAAACAAAATTCAAGGACTTTCTCCAAAACCACATGTATAAGGAGGCTCTCACAGAGAAGTGGCTGGTAGAGGGTACATTCCATGAAAACTCAAATATACCCCTGTGTCTTTTACCACCAGGCCTTAAGCACAGGACTGGGCACATACAGACGCCAAGACCACAGAATGGCTCCTGGGGTGCTCTCCCCCTGGGGATATACCAGGAGAGCCTCCAGAAGCACGGAGGAGAGAGAACTGGGAGAGGAGTTGCCACCTTTTGTCAGGAGGATTGATAATCATTACGTTCCCGTTGGCAGCCAGTTTGCTGTCAAAAACCCCAAGATCTTTCTCTGACGCTCAAGGGTGTACTGTGGGTGTGCTAAGGACCATGGTCACAAATCCTAGGAGCTGACCTCCTACAGGGGAGATCCAGAAGCTTTTATAGCCCCAGATTTTCAGAGAGCTGCAAATGAGGTTTAGAGATCTAAAGGAAATCAAGCAAACTGAACTGGGTGAGATGAACACTGGTAGCCAGACACTGGATTGTTATGCCCAGGATAAATAATTGGTTTGTTAATTAATCCTTAAGTGGAAGTGAAAAATCCAATTTATGTTAAACTTAATGTTTATTCCAAACATCTCAAAGATGGGAATATGAACTAAAATAATTTAGTCTTCAGATAAAGTCAATGAGAAGGCAAATGGACAATTAGTAAGTCCCAGAAAAGGGGAACTAAGAATTCTTTATGTTTTTCTTGAAATGTTTGAAATAATACTAAAACAAAAAGTTACCAAAATTTCAGCATTTAGTTTTAATTTTTGAACAAAAAGCTCATTTTTAAAACTGCTAAAAGATTTAGCAGTCTGAGGGGAAGGGGGGAAAGGGTGGAGGAGGGGGGCAGGGGAGGGAAATGACCCAAACAATGTATGCACATGTGAATAAATGAATAAAAAAAAAAAAAGATTTAGCAGTCTAACCAAGAACATCCAACCATACTTACAATAGAGCTTAGAATCTTAAATTAATTCTTAAATTGCTCATAGAGATCACTAGAGAATGACTAAAACAAAGGAGCCCTTTGCAGAAAGAGGTCATGACAGCAATTTTAACCAAGTAAAGAAAGTAAAAGCTTATAAACCTAAGGAACCGAGAATTTGTTAAGATAAAGTGATAGGTGGTTACGGTAATACTGATTAGGAGATCAGATTAATTAGCTTTACTATAAGGAAGGAAGCTAAGATATGACAGACCTCTTTAGGGTTATTCCACTTAGAATAATATTTGAAAAATCATGACTGAGTTTTTCTAGAAACAGTATTACAATGTCCCACATCAAACCGTGACTTTATACTCAAATGTGCAACTCCACAATGTTTCAGTGCAAGCTTTCAGCACTGACACGTTACCCCCACAGTGTGTCTGGCTCCATCCCTCCTAAGCACCAACCATCCATCCTTCTTTGCATAGGTTAGAATTGGGGATGTGTTTCACACTGTCACTTTCTGAATCCAGCACTCAAAAGAAGCTCTGAATTTTCTTCAGATGATCAACTGTCATAATAAGGAATGAGGACTAAAAATTTCTTCCCCTCTTCCTAGTCCCTAGTCTAAGCCAACTACTTAAGTCCAACAGAGGATGAAGCTATATAATTAAACAGCATATTATTAGCTCGCAGGGGCAGAACTGACATTACTACATTTTGAAAAGTGTGTTCTGTAATCCACTTACTGAGATTCATGGTGAGCTCTCCAGGATAAGGGTAGTGAAGCCTCTCTGCAAAGTCCCGACAATACCACACAAGAAGTTCCTGGTTGGCAGGAATGGGCTTAATGGTGTAGAAGTAAATGTTCATCCCGTTCTGACACGCAGCCAGGCTTTGCTCCCGGGCAGAGTGCGCTGGATTCACGTAGCGCATCCAGTTGCTTTTGTCCTCATTAAAGCCATCTATGAAGTGGTGGAGTTCCCCTCTGGAATAGATCTGTCCCAAAGAGAAGACAGACATGGTGTAAAAGGAAGCCAGCCTCCCCAGCACCCCTCAGAGTCAACCCAGGTGAGTACCATGTGTGACTCCTGCTCCCCATCGCCTAGCTAGAAAAAGAATCGATCAGGTTGGCAAGAGTTGTCTTGAATCAGCAGAAATGAGGGCGGAAGCAGGGAAGGCCCACTTTGTCAGTTACCCTTTCCATTCCAGTTTTATCGTCTTTTCATGTGTGTGTGTGTGTGTGTGTGGGGGGTGGGGGGGATAACAGAAGAATGAAACACAAAATTTCATTTAAGGAGCGGTCTCGAACTGATGAAACCGCCACAGAGATCTACTTTTGCTACAGCACTGAGAGGCAAAAGGGCGACACTAACTTAAGTTCCGACTGTGCTGACTTTTAGTGCTTTGAGTCACTGGGTAGAAGAGCAAGCTTCTCAGCTGCGTCAAACTGAGTCTCAGCTTTTTCTATGGCCTCTGTACCCGCCGTTTCCTACACCCCCGCCCGAGGCTCAGACTATGCAAACATCCTCCACCCCCAACCCTCCGAGTCCTAAAGTAACACTTGTTCAGATGAATACTTGGAACCCTGCCTTTTTGTGGAAAGGCTGGGTGGGGCAAAGGTGAACTTCACCTGCCATAACAAAGTGAGCACTGGGACAGAGGCCAGAGCTCGACAGTGTACGGAGAAGTCACTTTTCCTCTTGGTAAACATGTTCAGCCTTGCTCTCTTCCCAGCCAAAGGAGGGAAGAGGGATCCCCCTTATCTGTGAGGAGTTGGGCCACAAAACCACATGCAGCGCCACAGGCTTGGGTTTTTGGAAAAAGAACAGGAAGAGAGTGTGTGGTTCCTTCAAAGGCAATGCCTAAAGAATTCAGAGTTCGTCCTCAAAGTACCTCTGGTGAACAGATGCACTCAGGGTACTCGGTAAACAAGGCAGAGCAAAGGAAAGGAAAAATTGAAAAGATACACTCTGACTGAAGCTATGTGCTAAGACCACTCCTTATCCTTCCCACAGAAAGTTTCTTTCTCGCCTTCCTTTTGAGAGCTACTCCTTTTTTGTCAGGCTTAAGATCTTGCCTTATATATCCAGCGCCAATACCTGGTCATCTGCAACTTGAGTCTCCAAGGGGTAGGACACTTGTTTGCAGCACAGATTTGTTCTAACAGGACAGCAGGTCACTGGCTTTATTCTCAGTCACACACTACACTAGCCTATGAATCGTTTCTGCATTGCACTCAAACGTTATCAGAAATAAAAAGGAACTCTGTCCCTTTAACACAAGCAGTAAACACCAGAATCACTTTCTTTTAAGAGTAACTTCCTGTAAATTGTGAAGGGGAAATACGTGTGGCTTCATCAAAGCAGCTTGTGAGAGCTTTTGCGGTGTGTTTTGTTAAGAGAAAATGGAACAAGGCTGGGTGAATTGGGCTATCAAGAGGGGTTTTCAAGTTTGTTTACTCTGATGTGCAAACTTCCAGGAACATGGGGTTCCATCACTCTTGACTCTTCACTGTGGCGGAAACTGCTTTCTACAGCTTTGGGTACATTGATTCCAGTCAGCTTTCCACGGGCTACAGTTTACTGTATCCTCATTTAAAAACAGAACTGCTGGTGCCATGAAGTCACACACACACCCCCACATGAAAAGAAAACAGTGCGCACGTAAAATGAACACTGCTGCCTGTCACCTCACTGCATTTCCATCTATTATCAAGAAGATTAAAAACGTGCTGACTCATAGTACAGTTACAAGAAATGTCACTCGTTTCTCAACTTGAACATCTCTTGGACTGTGAAATTTGCATGAAACTTTTTCTTTCCTCACAACAGATGTCCATATTTCTGCCAGCAAAATCAGAAGGCTTTTAGCAACATGTGAGCAGTTAGCTCCTATCATAGCCTTTGCATGAGAGAGATCAGTTCACATAAAGTCTCCAAGGAAGGCCTTTCAGTTATTTTTAGTGAATTTTTAAATGAAACAGGGACCTGGAACAGTGAGGGACCATTCTGAGGTGTTTCTGGCCTTTTTTTTTTTTTTTTTTTTTCTTTCCAAAATGACCAAGTATCAATACCTCACTGTGTAATCTGTGTAATTCAGGCCTTCTGACTCCAAGATTAATACACCTCTCTGGCTCATGTCTGAGAAGAATTTATTGGCCAAAAAGGGAAAAAAAAAATGCATTCATTTTCCCATTTTAAGTCATGTACTGAATATCTTTTAAGCACAAATAATTATTAAATAAAAGTTGAGAGCACACAATCCTTAGTGAATCTACAACTGTTTCACTTGGGAAATAGCAAAATAAATTTCTGGGAACACAAAACTTCCTGGACTAAAAAAGAAAATCTCTTAGGAATAGCTTCTGAGTAATTCCCTAATAGAAGTCTTTTATGATACTTGTCAAAAAGATTCTAAGTTTTTCTTAGGCAAAAATACCAGCAAAAGCATGGTTATTACCATGTAGCTATTTCTCTAAAGAATTCAGATGTACATTTTATGTAAGTATGTAAAAAAACTGCTTTCTAAATTTAAGTAAGCATCTCTTCATTTTCTTTCTTGCTTTATGGCAATACTGGGGCTTGAACTCAGGGCCTTGTGCTTGCAAGGCAGGATCTCTATAATTTGGGCCATAACCCAGTCCAGCATTTCTTTGTTTTCTAATTGAGGAAACTGAATATCCTAGGGACATCATGGAAAGAGGGATATGGTTTTTCTCTGTGCATTCCTTATTAAGCCTCTTCATCAAGAATTCTATCTCATTAGCTCACCTCTGGGATCCTTTCTAACCCTGATGTTGCAAAGGAGATGGTATAGGCCAGACCTTTTGAAAGGATGTTAGTACAAAGCTTATTATCTCACATAAGGTGAGCATTTTCCTTAAGCTGTAGGAGTAACTTCCATAGCTTTATGGGGCAGGTTGGGTTAGTTCTGTGATCCATCTCTGTTCTCCTGGCTGTCTTCCACCCATCTATACTTAGTGACATATCCCTTTAAGATAATTCATTTATGGTAACTCTTCCATTCAATTAAAATTAACTCAGCAAGAAATCAAGAAGGGGTGAAATCTAAGGCTGGTGACTCATTACTACTTCCTTGCAGAGAAATGCAAATGAACCTACTTGCTTCAAGCAAGCAGTAAACTGTTTCCTTTCATCACAAAGCCCTAATGAGTTGCAAAAATCAAGATTCATATAGTTCATATCTCCATCACTAACCATCTACAGCCTGTATTTCCAGGCCGAACATTTAAGCAGTTTCATTGCACTTGCTCACCATTCCTGTTTCCATGTGGCCGGACCCTGCATACTTGCAAGTTGGGGGGCGGGGTGAGCCCCAAGGGTTTCTCAGCACAGGCTGAAAAGGAAGCAACCCTGTTTGCTCTTCTAGCTCCATTTTTTTCCCCTAAGACTTAAGGACCTGAAAATTTTTCCTTACTTACCCGCCAAAAGTATTTCCTGTTGGCATTCTTGGGAACTGTATCATTGGTGTAGATTTCACCTATTAGGGGTCCAAATCGTGTTCCCTTTGGTATGTATTCTTTACTTACTACTCCAATAACCTAAAGGGAGAAAACAAACAAAATAATTACTTTTAACTGTGAAATAATTACTTTTAACTGTGAAGCCTTAACCAATCTTGTTATTTTGATAAATTGAACTGTCAAGTGATAATACAATCAACACTAGAAAGGAGACATTAGGAGGCCCCCAAGCTTCCCCAAAGGAAGACAATCTTTTAAGGTATAAGATCATAAGCAAATACTCAAAGCATTAAATACTATACGTGATGATTCCCCAGTGGCTGAAGGTTCTTTACTTATTTACTTTTCATACTAGAAGATCATAGAAGATAACCATTCTATTACAGAATGAGACACTGCAGAATTAGATGGTCAAGATCAGACATTTCAGCCCTGATCCTAATTTCCTATTTCTTATTCTCCCTTAAACCATAAACACAGTGTACTCAAGAGGAATAAAACAGTTTTAACCTCAAAAACCAAAATAATGCTCTTTGGTTGTTCCACAAAGGCCAAAGGAACCAGAAACCAAACACATTATATATTTTTTTCATTCCAGATGAGGTTTTTTTTTTTTTTTTCTTCACCCCTCATAGCTTGCAAGTTCTCTTTAATAGAAGAAAAATCTTTCAAGTAACTTTGTTCTTCTCTAACATCTACTCAATAGTGGTCAAAATCCTCCTTTGAAAGGAATCTACACTGACTGAGCTGTGGGTTCCAAGATCTGTGGGAATGACCTTCCCAGACTGAAGGTATGCATTTTGACTTTGTAGGGCAGGGCTTCACTAAAGAAATGTGTTAACTATGCCAGTTCCTCCTTAATCGCAAATTTCTTTTGTGGGGGATTAAAAAAAGAAAAATCATCAACCACGAATCAGGAAGCAATTTATCACTATTCTAAAGAACCGAGTGAGCAGCCCTTTACAACATTTTGCAGTTAGTTTTGTTTTGGTTTTATTCTCTCACCTTCCCATTTTTATTTTCTTTTGGTTCCAAACAGCCTAGAAATTACTTACTAAATACCTTACTGAAATGGACTAAGGGTGGGGCAAAAGATTATTATTTATTTCCACGGCTGGAATCATGCCTTAAGTGGCAGATCACTTGTCTAGCAAGTACAAGGAAGGCCCTGAGTTTTAAACCCCAGCACTACCAAAAAAAAAAAAAAAAGTAATAGTTTTTCCAGTTTTATTGTATCTGGGGCTCCTGTATATTTTTGTATCTGAAATGGCAGGTACAAATATGTGAATCAATGCATGTTCAGATGATTTACAGTGGAATCTGAGATTTTGTTTACCATATACACTGGCACCTCATCAAACCTCATCAAGAATTTAAACCTCTATCTAATATGGAATAAGCCCACCTACACAGTTTGACACATTGCTCTCTCTTGTAAGTTGCTTATCAGCAAATGATTTTTTTCTAAAGCAATTCAGTATTCAATATACAAGTTAATGGAGCATACTCAAGACTGGAAAAAGAGAGAGAGAAAAAAGAAAATTTCCTACACCTAACACAAGCTGAAACAAGGTTGGCCAGCTAGAGCGTTATTTTTGGTCCTTTATGAATTTCTGGCAGAGAGCTGAAAAAAGCAGATGTTCATTTCACCTTCCTCCTCAGCCTTCATTTACATCTATTGTAATAATGGTGAACTGTTTCAAAGAACAGTTCAAGAAACAATGGTGTTTCAAGAACACCATTATTAGTATTAGTATTTGTTAATAGTGTAGCCAGTGGAGACAGGAGCATCTTAGAGCAGTGTTCAGATAAAGATATATACTGAAAATTGCTTACTCAGAGGCTCATTATTTAGGACATATTATTGAAACTCATTAATTTGAAAAACTCATGGAATTGACTTCTATGACACACAAATCATTAGACATTCCCATTGGAGTGATTATTCCATAATAGTAAAATGACAAACAGGAAAAACAAATAATGCCATTTGTTGTCGAGCCAATAATTAGCAGCTGATATTTTCAACACATCCACTTTAAGGCAGTAATTTTAAGAAAGGTACTCGACTGGTTCTTCAACTCTGTTGTAAATTATAGTCTCTTGCAGATAGTGTCTTGGGAGTCAGAGCTTTGATTATCAACAAGGAGCTAGCTCTACTTTAAGGTCACAGTTTTTCTTCCCAATTGTCACTCTTCTACAGAACACACCTCTTTGTTTTCAGTTATCAATCTTACACTTTTCCTTGTGGCCCAAAAGCAGTCAACTAGAATTGTGTTCTTTTGACAAAGGAATGTGGGGGGAAGCATTTAAAACCTGCTAAGCACAGCTATGAACTAGTCACTGGGGAAGATGTAAAACAGAATTGGTGGAACTTGCCACATATTATGAAATTCAATAGGCGAGACAAGAGGATAATTAAAAAGAGGAGGGGAGCCATGGTCCGCGGCATGGCCTAAAAATCCCAGCTGCTAAAAAAATCCCAGCTGCTACGGAGGCTGAGGCAGGAGGTTGGTGAGTTCTAGGCCAGCCTGGGCAACACAATGAGACCCTGTCTCAAAACAAACAAACAAACAAAATGCAGCACTCTGGAGGTAGGAGAGAGGTCTATGACAGTCCTCAAGCCTTAGACAAAAGAGCTTCAATAGTAGGTTATCATTATAAGTAAGACAGACCTTAATATTTAATATTTCAATTTTTAACATACATAGAGCTATAGAGTACACATAAACTAACACTAAAGATAAATAGAGACACAAAATCATAGGAATTTTAGGTGGGAAGAACTCCTGTAGCTTATAAACCACCTATATCACCGGGTATGGTGTTACACACTTGTAATCCCAGCACTTAGGAGGCAAGAGGATCATAAGTTCAGGGCCAGCCTGGGCAATATAGCAAAACCTGTCTCAAAACTCCTGAAACAAACTGAAAAAAAAAAAAAAAAAACCAAACCAAACCAAACAAAGATCCACTTATCCCCACTCCAAGTCCAGCACTCTAATAACTGACAATAAACATCATCTCAAATCCATGTCTGACATATTATTCAAAGACAGTATAAAGGCTTCAACTCTTAAGATTATGATGCTTGTCCAGGTAACTCTGGAGAGAGATAAGGAACCAGGGTTGTTCTTAATGGGAAATAAAAATCCAAATCCTAGTTCTCCCTCTGGTCCTAAAAGATCCAGATGTGTATCTGAGCCAACCCCTTCTCCCTGAGCCACCATTTATAGCAGTCTATGAGCAAATGCTACAGGGAAACCTGATGTGTATTTTCAAAGTTCACAGTGCTAAAAAGACTAATTGAGAGTGTGTTCACCTTAACTCAGGAAGGAAACTTCAGCTTCACTGGAACTGACCAGGGTCCTAAAGAATTACTGCTAGGGACAGGCCGCTGTGTGCCTTCTATAAACCTATCAATGACAGCACACTGGCTTCCACACGTCCATGCCTCGTCCACCCTCACAGAAGCCTTTCCCGCATGCTTTATGTACTAGGCAGACCCCTCTGCCACCTGGGCACATCTGTCTCTGTCAGTGGCCTCAGCTATAGAACATATTCTACTTGCAGCTTCCGGACAAAAACCAGGGCTTCTTTTCAGTTTTACAAAATGAAGATTTTATAGCTCAGGTTGGGCTGATGGGGGTGCTGATAATAGGAACACTATAGGTTGGTTGGCTGGTTTGTTTTAAAAGCAAACACACACAGAGCAGATTTTAAGCACAAATATCATTCAGGTCTCAGTGTGGTCTGAGCATCCTCACATCAAATTACAGTAAGATCATTTTAATTGCTAGTCATCTCTAGCAAATCCTACCCTACAAAAACAACACAATTAAAATTCTATGTTTACTCTAAGGACCATTCAATCTACAATGCACCCTGTTTTGAAAAGGAGTGAAAGGAGCTGAGATGTTTTTGGAAGGTTTCCTCCTTCCTCCTTATCTTTATATTAAAGGAAACAAGGTATTGCCTTGGTACATCTCCCAAATCAGAGTTTGACGACAGAATTGCATGTTATGGTGAGATACTTTTATAGATGGCTTGAGTTAATAATGGACTTAGAATGGATTAGAATGGACACCAAGTGAGTCCCTATGATCTGTCTTGATGTTTATCAGCACAGGACTTCAGGAGGTCAGATTCACAGAGGAGCCACAATGCCCCTTGGGGACAAGCATCCTCAGTGGAGGGCAGAAACTTGTGTAGACTAACTACTACTTCTAAAATTCTTTGTAGTCAAGTATTCACAGAAGATTATTTCAGGAGAATGAGGGGGAAAATCCCCACAAAAGAGTAACTCATTAGCTTAAAAAGCTTTAAAAGTTTTGAGTAGGATGTCTATATTTGGTTTTAGTTTTGGAAATAGGAAGTAGGAATAACCCATTAAAGGTGTAGAATGATTCTAAGTCAAATTTTAAAATGAAGGTCGAGATCAGAAATAGGGTTTCTATGTTTTGTTTTTAAATCAAGGGAAAAAAAAGGTGCTGACACATAGCACAAATTCATAATGAAAAATGATCTTGTTAAAAAAAAATTCCACCGTATGTCAGCACGACAGTACATAATGTAACATCTTCTGCTATTTTAATGAAAACGTTATAAGAAGGGCAAGATAAATCAGTCAGATAAAAACTATATGTAGGAAAGCTTTCTCCCTATTTCCATGGCTTGTGGCACTTAAAGAACTAATTGAAAATGATGATATAAATATTATATCATCCCCAATGCTTTGGTCCTGGAACTGGTTTGCAGATCTCACACCCTCCATGGCTCAATTTCACCATCTTCTTTCACCACCCCAAGGGAGCTATCCCTTCCCAAAGTTCAAAACGGAAGGGAGAGAGACACAGAAAAACAGGTACAAGTCCTGGAGTCAGCTTAAGGCACTATGACATTCAAATTGTTTCCTGGTTGCTTTCGTGATTAGGGAGTAAAGAGGTACTAAGCCCTGGTCAAGTGTTTTAGTGAAGTAAAATGTGGGGAAACAAGGTGAGGGAATCCTGGCCTCTGATATGTGTTTTAAAGGATCTCCTTTAGAAAACTCGGGTACTGTCTGTTTTTTTGGTTGCTTAACATCTTGAAACAAGGAGCTATACATTCAGAGGAAAACAAAAAAACAAACAAAAAAACCAAGCAAGCTTCATAAAGGAGCCGTTCTTCAGACGATAAATAAAACCACAGTGACACCAAGAGGGGCCAGTGTAGCATAATCTAGAAGTGCCTGTTGGAGAAGTCAGAAGAACTTTGCTCCCAGTCCCTCGTCTGGCTTTAACTATAGCCTTTGGGTAAGTGACTATCTCTCTGAACCTTGGACTAAATGATCTAAGAGCATAACTTGACTCAGTCACGATTTTCAGTAGAATGACAAAAAATGAGAGAATAAGAACACTGTAGGATAAAATGGCAAAGATGACCCACAGAATAGAGATCTTGATTCTTGTTCCAAATGGACTGGAGAGGACATGACACAAATGAACCTTAGGAACAGACCAGTATTTAGAACTGGAACTGATATGAGAAAAAACACTACACCTTTTAAAGCCACAGTCAAACCTTAAAAGATCCAAACAAATGCTACATTGATTCCAAGGGCCACATATTAAGAGACTTTCTGTTGAGAAGAGCATTACTTTCAGGAAGAGGTATAATTAGGGCCGACCTCTGGGGTTACACTTGTTTTTGGTAACATTTATGTACAACTACAATTTAAATTTTGCTTTTCATAAAATCTGCCACTACTCTCTCAGCAGGAAAAAAAGAAAAAACAAAAGTTGAGCTTTCATGAAATTCCAAACAGAATTACTCTATTTAATTTTAGACAGCTGTGTCTCCCCCTTACCAAAAACATTGAACTCAGACACACAAACAGGAAAGAGACAAAGTGTTTCCCAAACAGGCTGCCGGATTCCTTCAAATACTGTTCCTTAGGGAAGGGGGAAAGTGATTTGACATGGCTGTAATGAATAGTCCCAGCAGCAAATCCTGGATTCTCAAGGCACATGACCCCTTTTCACTGTTTTCGAGGGCAGTAACAGGACTGACAGAGCTGAGATAATGGTACTGGTGCTAAGTCTGCTGGGGCAGATTCCTTCTCCTCAGCCCAGCAGCTCATCAGTGACAGCAGCAGTCAAATTCCCAAAACAAGAGGCGGTTCTGCAAGTTATTTCACAGCTCAACCTCACGCCTAGCTGTAATTGTTATATGAAAGGGTAAACACAAATCCAGTGGTTCATTCCCAGTTTAGGTTTTCAGCCTCTTTGAAACAACAAAGAGCGTACCCACTTCAGAGGCCAGTAAGGAATGGGTCTGCCAGCCCAGCCAGAGCAAAGGAGCTGCGGCAGATACACAGTGGTTAGTGAAGTCATCAGGGACAGAGGACACTTTTACGTGACCCTCTTCTCAGTTTATGCCATCACTGTAGTTCATGAACACGTCAAGGTTTGGAGAATAATTTTAGAAACCCAGCTAATAAAAGCTGGCTCGTTAAAAAGAATAAAGCCATCTAATGACCAAAGGGAGACAAAAGAAACGAGAAAAAAATTTTTTTCTAAGAAAAAGTTTCCTCCCTAAAAAGACACTATACAGTGTGGGGTCGATGGGTACAGAGTTATCCCCACAGTTTGCTGGCAATGTTGCCCACCAGCTGCTGGGAGTTGGCTTTTCCAAGACATGTCAATTTGCCAAAAGATTTAACTGTTTACTAATTAGTATGGAACAGTTGGAGGCTTAAGGAAATGAGGACTGACTTAGGGAAAGAGAAAGCCAGGAAAGAAGGGAATGAGGAGATCACTTTTTGGCTGGTATTTATTTGCTGATACTTAAAGAGATTCTTAGAATTCCCAGAGATCTACCCACCTTGGAGTGAGGAGGGAGACTGGGCACCAGGTGCTCATCTGGTTCAGCAATCAACCAGGAGGCTTACCTCTTTGCTGTTGGTGGCATATTTGAAAAGCAGATTCCTTGGTAAGGATGCCTCTGCCTGAATGGAAGTCCCTCCATCGGCACCAGAATCCCAGGGGTGGTCATTCACAATGTAGGTACACTTCTCCTCAAACTCAGCTTCTGTCCACAGAGTCATATCCGCATCCTCCATGTCCATTTTCATGGTTTCCCCGGTCCCCTCTGCCAACCCTTGAAACTTCACAGCGCTGGAGCTACACTTGGGGGCAGCCTGGAAGAGAAGGGGAAGGTCTTTAAACCCCATTGTCCTGGCGATCCTGGGGCTCCCTCTGAGAGAGCGATGACTAATACAGTTGTCTGAAGACTTGAAAAGCAGATGCAGAGTGCCTGGTACAGTTGAGTAAGAGCCAAGAAGAGCCGTATAAAGCAAGGTTTTAAAAATGCTCTTCTTAGTTGAAAAAGAGAAAGAAGAAGAAAAAGAAGAACGTGGCAACTTCACTGGGAAAAAGAGCTACCTTTGAACAATCCCTGGCTTTACCTCTCACAGCAGAAAAATGTTGTGGGCGCTGCGTCCTGTGTCCCAGAATGCCTGGGGTCATGGCCGCCAGACCCTCAGCGCTGTGGAAAAGCTGCCTCAGAAAAGTGTCACAAACAAGGAGAGGAAGAGGAAGGAGGTCTGTCTGCCTCTGAATGAAGCTAAAAATGGAAAGCGTGTGTGGTGCAGGAGCGGAACCCAGCCTGCCTTTCCCAAATGGGGAAGACTGAACTTTCCCACCAGCTCCCAAGCCAGGCCACTTTCAAAACAACTGCCCCCCCGCCCCCCAGCCCCTGAGCACTGCGCTTTCATCCTCTGGCATGGGAGACCCAGGCTGCATCCTGCCAGCATCACTGGGCTGCAGCCTTCCCGGCTCCTTTGGACCACAGGAAAAGAGGAGGAGAAATGGGGAAAGGGAAAACACCCTGCAGTTCCTTTGGATTTGTGGGCATCTCCAGCCAAATTGAAAAGGCAAGAACAAAACATAGAAGTATTCGATAGAATTCCCTGAAGAGAATTCCTTTAGAGCCCTCGGCTACAAATAGCACTTTCCATTTAAATCTGAAAGTGTACAGATTCCCAGAAGTCACTTATGTGCTACAGTTTACTGTAACTAAAGTTATAACAAATTCAGAAGAAATCCGAGGACAAGCCCTCTTTCCATTTGTAGATGGGTAAGGATATTCCCCCCAAAAAACTACCCTCACACTCAGAAAAACGGCTTTCCAAGGAGAAAAAAAGGCCAACAACTTCTGCAATGTCGACCCACATAGACGTGTTTGATAAAGATGAGGGATGAGGGTATCACTTCCATGGAAGAAGGGCGCTCGTTCAAATGTAAACATAACCCTGGGAATCCTTCACGGTGGTTTTACATTCTTCCACTTCTTCCCCAAGTAGGATAGGATGCTCTTTTTTTTTTTTTTTAAAGTTAGATGCGAAGCTGTCTCTGCTTCCGTGACGACTTAAACTAGCTTTTTTTTTTTATTGAGTTCCTACATGTGGAGTCATGATGCCAAATAAATGTTTGAAATAAAATAAAACTGAAAACCTAAGTCAGCCCAGAATAGTTACTGTGATTGCCGTGGGTGGGCAGGAGCCACTACTGAAATTTCAATTGGCAATTATGTCTAGAACTGAAAGGGTTAATGATTCATAAGGAAAAAGTCTTCTAAATATTTGACAGTGCTAAGTGCAGGAACGCAGAAGCGTTTCTTGTCATATATATATATATATATATATATATATATATACACACACACACACATATATTTTAAAAAGAGCGAGAATAAGAAGAAAGTTTTCAGGTCACTTTCAAAATAAAAAAATAAGATCAAGTTCCTTACCAAGGTCGTACCCACACGTTTTTCCCAGCAAAGATCCAACATCTGAGCTCGCGCTGGCTCATGTCTACCCAGTCCGCATTGTCCCCGCGCCCCGGCGGGCCGGGCCCAGTGGCTGGCGCGCGCGCCTCGGGTCCCCCTGCCGCCCGCGCGGGCTCCGCTCCGGCTCCCGCTCCGGCTCCGGCTCCGGCTCCGCGCGGACAGGTGCTGCGCGCTGCTCCTGCCTCTCCGCGACACTGCAGGGCCGAGTGAGTGTCACGGCGGCGCTGTCTGTGTTAACCAGACCCGCCGCTCTTTCCCCTCCCTGCTGCAGATTAGCCAGCCACTCGTCTGAATCACTCCCACCAGCTGCATGGAGTGGGGGCGTGGCCATACCTGGGCTCGGCCGCGCCGCGCGAGCCGGAGAGCTAGCGAGTGAGAGGGCGAGCGAGCGAGCGAGCGAGCGAACGAGCGCAGGGCTTTCCCCCCTGGATTGCGAGACAGAGCGGCAAGCTTCCTCTCTTCGCATCTAGATGAATTTCAACATTTACTTGGAATCTTCCGACTTCCCTTTGAAGGCACTAGCGCTCCACGTTTACTTGCGCTGCTTTGTATTCTAAATATTCCCGGTCGCCCTGCTTCCTGTCGTGAGCCAATGAGGGGGCGCACACTCCTTAGATGAAGGGAACCTAACATTAACCCAAACAGCGTGTGGCTCCTCCGCTCCAACCCGCAGTTACAGGATACACAAAACTTACTACGGAAGGACAATTGTTTTTGCATCTAATGTGATACAAGGTAGCTACCTAGCCCTGAAGTGACTGCCTATGAAATATGCAAGTGTTCCCCCCACCCCACTCCCGTTCCCCCAACTCGTAAGACTCCATTTCTCCTTGCTAACTAAATACATTCAAATGTGGAACTAACTTCCCTCTTTAAACTATTTGGTAAATGAGAAAATAGGAAAAAGTTATAATCCTACAGATCAAGTGTTTTGTTCCTTTCTTCTTCTCCCGAAACCCACAGGCACACTTGTGAGCGGCGTGTGAGTAAAATGTAGAGCATTCATGGGTCCACGGTTACGGGGAATATTGATCACTACAAGTGAAGAGCTGTTGGAGGCAGTAATTAGCCGGACTTGTTCTGAGCCTGGCTGCCTTTTCCTCTAGCCCCAGTCAGTCCTCTGGTGAAGGAAGGACATCCTGTGATGATGGCATACAATGTCCTGTTTGTTTATTATTAAGAGCGTGGACCTTGCATTCCTGCTTCTCATTACAAAACAAACCAGATGCTTTACTTCCTTCAATGGTCTTGTGCCTTCAGCAAGGAATCCTCTAATTCAGACAAACAATGACGCAAAGGGTCCATTTAGAGCCGGAGCAATACAACTACTGTTCAGACCCTGAAACACAAGACTTCCACTTTTCCTGCCAGCTCATCATAGGTAGTTAAAAAAAAAAATCCTCTCCCCTTCGACCTGAGACTGCAATGTCTTTTCTAGCATTTCAAAAATACATGTGCATACACACCCACCCACATCCACACACACACCTCCACATCCACACACCCAGTCCCAACCTAATGATACCAACTTAGTCATACAGTGAAGAGGACATTTGAGTATTTGTTTACAGGAAGAAATGAAACAAGGAAAAACAAAAGCCCAACTCAATCGTACAGAGTTTCTTTCAGGAAACTTTTCTAGAATATTTTAGAGGGGAGGGTGGGAAGTAAAAGATTATATGTCAGAAAATGGTAATGGTATGATAAAGCCCTTCTATGATCTCTGTAATACACAGCAATTACATTCCCACTAGGGGACATAAGTGGCACATACACCCTTTTCACTGCTGGTCCACCTGTTATTGCATGTTGTGCCAGAGGGGACGCTAGCACCAAGAGGAAACAGGTCACTTAGCTAGCTGATGTGCTAGGGGTATAAAACTGAATGAACAATTCCTAAGAGCTCTCTGAATGCTCAGAGATGATAATTAAACCAGAGAAATCCAGCCCTCTCGAGAGGGTTTATTAACTGATGCTGAGTCAGCGCCACAATGGACAGAAAAACAATGTAGTCATACTGAAGGCTGGCCTCCCTGGCACATCAGTCAACAAATATTTCACTTCCCTTTCAGAATCAAACTCCGTACACGGGCCACACATACCATGCAAAAGCCAGGGAGTCAACCATCATGGAGTCAGGGGATGGGGAAAAAAGGCTGATATTCAAGGTGAGGTGCGAAGGGGGCTATTTTCAGCCAAATATTTTCTTTAATGACTGGAAGATGCCAGTGAATCAACTCACTGTTAATTAATATCAGCCTGCGCTCACCTTCAGAGGTGGTGAAATGGGCTTGAGTCTAGGAGGACGCAAACATCAAATACCAGTGTGGGGCTTAGCCAGGCAACCCTAAAATTAGTTCCAGGTGTTCCAGCTGAGCTGGACAAGGCCATGGGTGGAACTTACGGAAAGTAGATTTTGAGACAAAGTGTTGGAATATAACATCCTTCAAATGTCTTCTTCTTGTGTCAATGTGAAAGGGAAAAGCAAACCAACAAAGTTCAGGCCAACTTTTGACTATGCTTATAGTGGTCAAGGATGGGTAATATCATTAAAATGAAGAACACACACACACACACAAAGGAAGAAGGAAGAAGACAGGGAAAGAAGCAGGCTCCGTAACAGAAAAGGCCATGTTCATATTGTAATCTTTAGGTATTGTCCAGCACAAAAATACTATGGAGGAAGAAAAGAGATTGCCTTGTGAACTTCACTCAGCCCTTCCAGAAGGCCTGAGCAGCCTTAATCTAGCAATGCTGACTAAAGTTGGGTTGTTGGCACTGTCCCCTGCAGAGAGAACTCTCAGAGGCTGCCACTGTCTGGAATCTGAACAGTCTCAAAATGTGTTCTTAAGTAATAACTTGGTGCATTTTTAGTCATGATATTATTCCCCCACTGTTAGAACACCCAAAAAACCCTCATCAGTTATCTTTATTAATCAGCGTCTCTCAGCATTTCTTGCATTAAGAGTGTTCACAATGCAGCACATAGTAAAGGATCCAAAAAGCTCTGTTCTCAGAAGCCCTGATCTATTCCCTTTGATGGCACCATCACAACGGCTCACCAAGCCCATGTGAATTCAGTTTCTGCTACTGGGCCAGTTTGGTTTTTTTTTTTCCTTCCAGTCCTTGGGTGGTTTGGGAATTGTGAGGTAGGCAGCCAAATGACTGTATGGGGGGAAAGAACTATTGCAGCATGAAGGCAAGCTGCGTACCAAATCTGGAGATCCGACTCTACTATGGGAAACATTTTTTTTTTTTCCTAAGGAAAGTAAAAAATGGGATTAAATATGCTCAAGATGAAACGTGTTTTCATTTTCGAATTCAACTCCTGCTATACCCAAACAAGGTCAATGACAGGCTAACCACATCAAGAGAACACCCCCCACCCTCTTCTCCCCACCCCCCACACCCATTTCCCACTTCCTGTAAGTTAGGCATCTTCATGCTGGTAAACATTTGGGGACCAACTGTAGGCCTGAGCCTAAAAGAGGGGCACTGTGGCTTTGAAGCCCTCCCACGTCTCAAAGCCAGGCTGAGAACTAGAGGGACACTTGGTTTTTAAATTTTAACAGCCTTTTCAACTCAAATAACTGGGCTTGCCTTTTTGGCTGCCTTCCTTTTTAAAAGCCGGACAAGAAGAGCAAGTTTGTGTGTGAGAGAGAGAGAATGTATGTGTGACACATGCTATGTTACGATGCAGTGTGTGTGTCATTGGTATGATATGTGTATGATATGTTTCAATGATGTGTTAAATCAATTTAAAAATAGCACAAGCTTCCTTCTCATGACACAACGTATCTCCCCAAAACACTGCAAACATTCAAGGCCTAAATCTGGGGAGGGTAATCCTAGTGGGCTGTGAAGTGTTTTGAAATGAAGTCAGTGTTTTGACCCCCAAAATAAGGGAACAAATATTAAGTAAATTGAAGAGCCAAAGTAGCGTTCTCATCCCTTTGTAGGAATGAAGTTTCGAAAACCAACACGATGTCTGAGGTCTCGGGATTTCCAGAACCACCTGTGTCATGACACCTAAGTGTCTTCTTGGCCCTCCCACCACAGCTGTGCTCTTACCTAATCATTTACATAGTTTAAATTATTCATTTAGTTTGACATCTACCAACTTAACAAATAACACTAGCAAAAATGATTGTCTCTGCGGCATTTGTGAGGAAACCTCAGTGTGTTCCTAATATTTCTTTGGCTAATTATGTTTTTATTATGGTGAATATTCAGACACGAGAGGGATATTAATTCCCGAAAAGGATGTGGGAAAGGAGATCATTTCTGAACCCAGAAGGCATTTTTCTAATTCTATACTTGGTGGAAAAAGAAATACATAAATCTAAGCTAACAACAGGAGGCAAAGCCCAGACCCTCAAGAAGACACGAGAGACAGGGCAGGTGCACATTCTGAAAGGAAGCTTCCTGACCTCTTCTCAAGAGTTTGGGGGAAGGAAGAGTCGCTTCCACACCAGTGAGACTGTGGGACAGATGTTTGCATCTCTTTCCTCTTTCTGAGGGAGGAGAGGCCTCACTGCAAGAGGGGAGGGCCCACCGTTTAAGTAAAAGGAAGGTAACAGATGGGAGCCTTTACTAGGTAAGATTAAAGAACTACCAGTGAGTTAACAACAAAGGATGAGAGGAGAGGGGAAGGATGAGCTGAAACAGCAGAAGAGCAGCATCTATTCCAGGATGGCAGCCCAGGAGAAGGAGAGGGATCCTGAGGTTTGCCTGTCTCAGTGCACGTTCCAGAAACCACAGAAAACCAACCAAAGGAGGAGGGAAGACCCTTTAGTACTTTTTATTAAAAATGGGACTTATAGTTTCTTCGCATTCTAAGGGAAGATTCAAGACTGTAGAGGCTTGGTTGTGTGTGTGTGTGTGTGTGCTGGAGGAGTTAGGAAAGGATAAAGAGACGGAATTAAAAGGGTTAATAATGAAATAATTTGAAATATTCTTCCAACACACACAGTTTCTCTCTCTCTGTCTCCCTCTCTCACTGGATCATACATACAACTGTGCACCTGAGACGCCAGCTGAGACATGCCAGCTGCTCAGTCAGTGAACAAAACCAGAGCTCAGAGGGACCCCAAACCCAGAGTTCCATGGGTCCTAGGTACAGGTGGGCTTGGAAAGGGGGAGAGAACCAGTGGCTTATTGTAGAATTTTTTACATGTGAACTGGTGTTAAATGTGAATATTTAAATTCAAGCCACTAAATTCAGTTGCCTGGGTTTGGAGGAAGTCATTG